AACTATTCCTGGTTCGTTGCACAACCTCACTAATATAAGATCCATTCGAATGCAACATAACCAATTGCATGGAAGAGTACCCCCCGGACCATGGAACCTCCCTATGCTAACAAAGTATAATATTGGTCACAATAATATTGTTAGCGCACCGGGTGAGGGTCTTGGTTTCTTAAATTCATTGGTAAACAGCACAAAGCTTGGTTTCCTTGCTATTGATGGTAATAATTTTGATGGTTTTATTCCAGAGTCCATCGGCAATCTTTCGAAGATACTCAGAATCATGTTCATGGGTTCCAACAGGATATCCGGCAGTATTCCCTCCTCAATTGTTCAACTGAAAAGCCTAGCTTTACTAAATTTAGGCTACAACTTCATTTCTGGTCAAATCCCGCCAGAACTAGGCCAGTTGGAAGACTTACAAAAGCTAGTTCTAGGCAACAATAGGTTTACTTCATATATTCCGAGTTCATTGGGTAATCTTCGAAAGTTAACGAAAATTGATTTGTCAAGCAATGAATTGGGAGGAAATATACCCATCAGTTTTACGAATTTCAAGTGGCTAACTTCAATGGATCTCTCCATGAATAAGCTCAATGGAAGTAAACCCAGAGAAGTTCTAAATCTCCCAAGTTTAACCATCATCCTCAATCTTTCCAGCAACTTACTGACAGGCTATTTGCCTCGAGAAATCCACAGCCTGGAAAAAGTCGTGACGATTGATCTCTCCAACAATAATTTATTGGGTGAGATTCCAAACTCGATCCAGAATTGTAAGAGCTTGGAGCAGCTGATCATCTCTAAAAATTCACTCTCTGGAAATATTCCAAATAGTTTGGGGGAATTGAGAGGTTTGTTGGTGCTTGACCTTTCTTCGAATCAACTCTTTGGTCCCATCCCTCTTGAGCTTCAAAGTTTAAATGCCATCAAAATCTTGAATCTTTCTTTCAACAACTTGGAGGGGAATTTTCTAAGCAACGGGTTTTTCTCAAATCTCACCAAAGTTCATCTTGAAGGCAACCCAAAACTATGTTACGATTCCAAATGCACAAGAGGTGAAACCAGCAAAGCAATTGTGACCGTGGTTTTGGTAATCTCTTCAGTACTAGCAACATTTATATCAATCGCCTTGTTTTTCACCTTCCGGAAAACCAATTTTGTGATCTTGGAGAGTCCTGATTCCTTTAAATGCCGACATCAAATGGTGACATATAACCAGCTACGTTGTGCAACCGGGAACTTCAATGATGAGAACCTGATTGGATATGGGGGATTCGGGTCTATCTACAAAGGGCATCTCAATCTCAAAGGTAGATCCCAAGAAATCGCTGTGAAGGTTCTTGACATGGAAACCACTGGCTCGTTGCCAAGCTTCATGGCCGAATGTGCTGCCCTCCGATATCTCAGGCATAGGAATCTTGTCAAACTGATTACTTCTTGTTCCAGTTTGGATCCCAAGAACAAGGAGTTTCGTGCTCTGGTCTATGAATACATGAAGAACCGGAGTTTGGAAAGTTGGATCGGCAAAGAAATGGGGTTTCAAGAGAGATTAAATGTGGCAATTGATGTAGCATGTGGCTTGACCTATCTGCATCATGAATGTGTGGTGGCTCCAGTGGTGCATTGTGATCTTAAGCCAAGTAATGTTCTATTGGATGAAGATTTTACAGCAAAAATTGGGGATTTTGGGCTTGCCAGCATCTTGGTTGAAAAAGATCAATATGTTGATGTTCTTAAAGGTTCCATGGGTTACATACCTCCAGGTTGGTGCACTAATCTCATATTTTATGGTTATACTTATGAATGAATAATTGTACCTTACATTAATTTATAATCGAATTCAGAGTATGGTATGGGAGCAAAACCATCTACTAAAGGAGATGTATACAATTATGGCATTATGCTTATGGAGATTTTTACCGGGAAAAGACCAACAGATGATATTTTTGTGGGTGGTTTGAGCCTCAAGATATGGGTGCAGTCTGCTTTCCCATCTAGCTTAGATCTAGTGTTGGATCCTTATTTGATTCAAGAACTAAAAGAGTTGTGGTCGAAAGAGTTGGGATTAGAAGAGTTGTACTCAGATGGTCGCTCCATGAACCAAAAAAGGCCATATGATTGCCTAATAATAATCATTGGAGTTGCACTTTCTTGTACTAACGATTCTCCCGAAGGACGAATCATCATATCAGAGGCTTTGCGCAAACTCAAGAGTGTTCAAGGTATGCTTCGTAAGTCATAGCAATTAGTGAAAGGAATGTACAAAAGAATCAATGATGATTTGATCCAAAATTCTACGATGTATTTCTATTTCCAGTGGTAATAGCAATTGCTATAGATGCTCCTAAACCCTATTATTGCATTAATTAAATTTTTTGAGCTAATGTAACCTTTCCTGAAACATGTTGCATATGTATTGTATTGTTTCATGCATACACTTTCCTTATACCACTATGACACTATTAGAAAATAAGTTTCTAATGATACACGAACAATGACACACACAACGCTCTTATGACACACATAGCTCAATGTCATAAAAATGGTATTTTTTTTACAAATTTGATGGAGTTATGGCATGTCTACATGTATGCCATCTTTTATAGTCATAAAATGAAATAAAAACATGTGAGAGACTTTTAATTGTTGTTTGTCATCTTAGATTACCAAACTTATCAATTGCATAGATATTTCTCTCCTCATCGATCTCCATACCTCTGCTAAAAATATCCTCAAGATTGAAGGTTCTCTAGCTTCCATTCGTTACACATCTTTGATTTAGGGTTCTATATTTCCCATTCATTAAATAGACTTGATTGTGATTTAGGATTCTTCATCTCTACATGCATCTCCCACATGCAGTTTAGGGTTCTTAATCCCCATCTATCAAACATGATTTAGGATCGTCTATCTGTAACATTCTGTTTTAAATTAAATAAAATAAGTAAATAAATAATAAGCCCTAAACCCCGAGATGCAAATTATATTATTTTCTGATGTTATTGTAGCCCTAATTTCGAAATAATTTAGCAAGGTGAAAGACCCCAACTTTCGTATTTTTGAAAGACCCAAACTTTCATACTTCACAATATCATTACTCCAAAACATGCTATTTGCATATTCATAAAAGCAATATTTTACATTGATAAAGGGAATTGCAAACTATTGGATACAAATCGTCTATTACAAAGTGTTATATATATTACATAACTACCCAGGATATTGTAATTTATACAAACATAAACTGTAGTACAAAAGTACTATTACAAACTATTCTAAATCTTTCAATAGTATGTGAACATAATAGCTACTTATCACCTGCAATTGTTAAACATTGATAGGGTAAGAGGTGACGCTTAGTGAGTTCAATAATATATACAATATAACGTTATGCCATATATATACTTCAATGTGGCAAAGGCAAAGAAGAGTAACAAGACATATGTGAGATCATGTGACAAGCGTTCATATCAATCAAAGACTTTATTCAAAGATATACTTTTCAATGCTTGCTATACATCAATAATACTTTGGCCCAAATGGCATAGAAGACATGCAATTTCTGATTAACATCTTGTTAGATTTCAGGCTTATAGTCCCGTCTAACCATTTGCCAATGCCATGGAATAGAAGTCATTCTCTTACAGAGACATGCTCTACATAGCTAGAGGCTACGTACCAGTACCAATGTGAATCTAAGTCCTTTCACTGGTCACATGGTCAAAGGTATTATAATCGCTATAAGCATAGCGAATAAAATCACACGAGAAAATAACTCTATATAATAACACTGAAAAGCACTTAGCACATATAACACATAACATACAATTGTTCTTATATATTGAATTCACCTTAAGTTAACCGGGGGTTAAAATAGTAATTTGGATAGCACTTCGGCTTTAAAAATGTCTTTCTATGTTGAAAACCGGGAGCTTAATTGAAAACCAAACACTGCGAAGGTAGGGCTTCAAAACCGAAAAGATAAAATTTTCGGGCTTCTCGGGGGTCTCGGGGCGTGTTTTGGGTGCTAAAATTGATACCGGGGCTTTGGGGAAAGTCGAAATAGTGAAAATATGGATTTAGGGGTGAAAAATGGCAAATTCTCAAAATTACCCGGGAAGGCTCGCAGGCCTCCCTTTTATAGGTGAGGGGCTTGGATCCGGAGCTAGGAGAAGCGAGCACGTGGCTCACATGCAAGGAGGGAAAGGCAGGTGGCGGTGCGAGGCTCGGACACGTGTTTGGTTTGGATGCGAGGCTCGTAGGCGAGACGTGTCTTGCGTCGGACTGGCCACCGATGCGAGACGTGTCTCGTTCTTGCTGGACCTCGGCCTCGGTGAATCAAAAGGGAACATGTGCTGGTCTCGGACTTAGGCCACGTCTCAGATACGTTGCTGCTTCGTGCTAGGTGACGTGTCCGAACACTGTTCATGTGAAAATTCTTGGTTTTCGGGCCCCGCACTTCTAAAATCCATAACTTTCGCATACGAGCTCCGTTTTTGACGTTATTTATATGAACGCGTAGCTAAAATTACGCTCTACAACTTTCGTTTAGACTTCATCGGCTAACTTTGAATTTATTTTTAACATTATTATTTTTAACAGATCGGGACAGGAAAATCCGTTAAAAATTCATAACTTCTTTATCCGACATCCGTTTTCGTCAGACTTTTTACCGATGTACTACATATGACGAGACCTTCGATTCTCGTTTAGGATGTATCGGTCAAATATCGCTCGATCTAAAATTCGAGTTTTTAACTGTCTACTCCTAAGTTGAAACTTCAAAAAATCCTAACTTCCTCATACGAAGTCAGATTTTGGCATTCTTTTTATCGAATTTCTCGTTTTAACGAATACTACGACTTTCATTTAGATTACTAAGGCTAAAAGGTAGTTTATCAAAAACTCACTTTTTACGTCATTCGGCACCGTGCCGGTTTTGTCGCGGATCTTCGGTTGGTCATAACTTCTTCGTTATAACTCGGATTTCGACGAGATTTTTGCCTACAAGTTTGTAACGAGATTCTCTACAATATCAAATAATAAAATTTTACTTATTTAAAATTTTTTATTTTCGCTAAATTTCACTATTTGGTTTTTAATTGGAATCTCATAAGACTTCCAATATTTTCTGAGTGATTCTAAACATAATTTTACTTCATTTCTAGTAAAAACCATTTGTTAGAACTCAACACTCAATTTCACATAGTATTTCATAATTTTATTCATTACAAAACACGATTTCAAAACGTGTATGTTACAAATACCTCATCCTTTTGAGGATTTCATCCCCGAAATTACATCGATTAAAATAAATGGGGATATTTTGCTTTTATCTCATTCTTATTCTCCCAAGTATAGTTTGGGCCTCGATGGTGTTTCCACTTGACAAGCACCAATTCTAATTCTTTATTGCGTAGCTTAGTTGTTCTTTCATTCACGATTTCTTCAAGCTCTTCAACATATCTTAACTTATTATCCAATTTCACCTCGGATAATGGAACTGTCTCATCGTAGATGCTCAAGCATTTGCGCAGATAACTTACATGAAACACATCATGAATACCTGCCTAATCTTCAGGAAATTCTAAGCGGTATGCTTTCTTTCCAATTCTCTGGATGATTTTGAAAGGACCAACAAATCTAGAACTTAACTTTCCTTTCTTCCCAAATCACATAAGGCCTTTCCATGGGGATACCTTCAGCATCACGAAATCACCCACTTGGAATTCTATAGGTCGTCTTCTCTTTTCCGTATAGGACTTCTGTCGATCTTGGGTCGCTTTCATTCTTTCTCGTACGATTTAAATCTAGTCGGTGGTGTCTTGAATCATTTTAGGGCCTCCAAGGATCCTCTATCCTACATCACGCCAACATAACGGCGTACAACATTTGCGACCATATTGTCGCACCCCGAAAACCGAAGGCGGAAACATTTCCGGGGTTGACTCCACGTTGAGTATCAAATCCAATGCACATAGTAAGTAAAGTAAAACAACCATTACATTACATAATAAAAGTTTTACAGTTGTTTCAAAAGTAAAGTTTGTACAGTTGTGATACATAGTATATATAGACAAAATGAAACGGGTCTTCATGTACTCCGTCTTTTGGTCAAAAAGGAATCTTCGGGTACCTGTTCTAACGCTGACCTGAGAACACAAGCGGTTTGAAAATCAGCATAAAGCTGGTGAGTTCATAAGCGGTTTTTGTTTGTGAAAATGTTTCAAGTTTCCTTTCTGTTTTTGAAATGTTATGTACACCAAGAAAATCCTGTATTTTTCTTAAAAGTTGGTTATTGTTTCACAAATGTAAAGTATAGTAAGTTTGTATACTGAAAACATGTATGCTCATGTGAAAATGTATAGTTGGTTATCCAACTTGTTAAACTATTCTGTTTACTTATCATGTATTCCCAAGAAAGTCTCATACTTTCCTTATTGTATATTATCAATTGTAAAAGATGTAATGTTATCCGGTTTGTTACTCTTTTTAGTTATGTAAGTGTTACCCAGGAAATCCCCATGCTTTCCTGCATGTTGGTTTCTAATGTAAACGATGTTAAAGATGTAAAAGATGTAATCGTGATTAGGTTCCATGTTTTCCCCAGGAAAGTCCCGTACTTTCCTGATTGTTAGTTACAGTATATGAAAGATGTGAAAGATGTAAAAGATGTATAAAGTAGTTCATTATTACTATAAGTAAATCTCTGTTATCCTAATTGCGAGTTCCATAACCATACAATAGACTGAAACCTGTGGCAATAGGTAGTCCACATGTGGCAATAAGTAGTCCACATACTTATGACTTTCATCACCCTTGAACCATTTCGGTTTGGCTGTAGCTAGCAGCCAGGTGTGGGGTAGTCAGCCCCGTATAGATCTATACACTCAAGTCACGCTCTCTAAATACCAGAGATTCTGGTTATGGGTGTAGTCCTCAACTCGCGTATCTCGGTGGAGTGTTCGCCGAGGACGTGTCTCCAATCATACATGATTAACAAATTTACTAGTAATAATATGATAATCCTCCACTCACATATATGTGTGGAGTGTCATCGAGGACAAAACAGTGTACAAGTATTATGTTCAAATGTCTAATAACATGATTTTAACTGATAAATTGTGGAAAGCCATTTGTGAAATATATATAAAACATAGCAGTTTAAAGACCTATTTCACAAATATATGTTACGTGTTCTGCATATTCAAATGGTTATCAGTTATGGTAATCAGTAATAAA